AATAAAGAAAATAACGATTTACAAGGCCTGCCAAAAGATGATAACTCATTGACAAGTGTCTTTATAAAAATATGTGATTCAGCTGATTTAGCACTCACATATTAATTCCTGCATTTGTTATGTCAAGCTCTGAACAAAGTGTTATTCCACAGACATGCTGGCTTGCTGGTTAATTCACCTTTACAACAGATTCAGTGCTTTCAGTGCCTTCCTTCTCTGGGCCTCAAAAACAAGAAGCCAAGCTGAAATGTGCACTGCTTGCTGGTGTTCTAATTGCTTCATGTTTTCACATTTTTTTTTCCACAGAACACTGTCACTGGGGGATGAAGGGGGGGAAATTCAGTAGGCCCTGGAGTGCCCCATATGGGAATTTATACTGGGAAATACCATAACCTCCTCACCCTGGGTGGTTTCACTGGGTGAAATAAGGCTTGGAGCACAAAATAAGGGAAGCTCTGTCTGCATTACCTTGGTGCTGGTATGGCAAATAAGGCTTTTTTTAAAGCAAACCAACAAATGAGGGAAATGTCATGTGTATCACCAACACATAAAACATTCCCTCACCTTCAAAACCATCTTCAGATCCACGCTTTTTCCCCAAGCTGCCGCGTGGTGCTCTCTCTCTCACCATTTCTCATGTCATACCAGTGAGTAAGTCCTGTTCTTGCTGCAGAAATTTCTGGAGATTCCTCTGAATCCTCTTTCATTTTCCAAGGGAATGTTTATGAATAGAGGTGAGGGCTTTGATTTAAAAGAAAAAAACAAAGAAGCCGAGTTTGCTCTTTACAGGAAACTGTGAGCTTTCCTGGTACCCGCCTTCTCTGAAGTGCTCCTTTCCAGCCCCAGGAGAAGACACAGAAGGGGGATGGTACATTTCCTCACAATTCCCTTATTTTAACTCAAACTTTGCCTCTTTTAGGAGACCACCAGCCACGTAGGTGGGGAACAGGCCCTGTTTCTCTATGTGGAATGGCAATTTGCATGGAGGAAAAGAGAGAGATGGGCACAGTTGCACAAGAAAGCTCCATTTATGAAACAGGCTGTCCTGAGTGACAAGTTCACCTTAACGCAATAAGAGGGCAATGAGTAACGTAACATGTTCCACCTCCATTGCTCACCTCCATGCAGCAAGTCCTCTCGGAGGTGGGCGAGGAAGGCAAACCAGGCTCCCATGAGCTCGCAGAAGCGCCTCCTTGGAGCACCCTGCTCGCTGCGGGGAGCCCAAGGACGGCTGCAGGGCCGCAAACGTCCTCTGAGGCCCACGCCATGGAGCTGCCCGAGGGAGCGAGGTAGGAAAGGAACCAGAAGCGTGAAAAGGCTTTGCAAAGAGAAATGTCATTAGGAACACTGCAGGCACATCAGGAAAACTCAGCTTGTTGGGTCCTCAAGTCAGAGGACTCTTCCTAGTGGAAAATCTTTACCCGTTGTGCCGGCCTCCTTCACACATGATTCGTGAAGCACTTCATGGGGAATCACAAACTATTCCCCTCACAGCTCGTGTGAGGGTGATGCCAAACTTACTTCATGAGCCTGGCAAGCTTCATCCCTTGGCTTTCCCCATCCTCTTGCCAGGCTCATGCCACCACTGCCCCCATGGCGGCCACTTACTCACTTGATCCCCGCCAAGCGCCAGTGCTTTGCAGCTAAATATTACAACATTCCTAAAAAACTAGTGCCTGGCAGCTAACTGCCCATGCACCCGGAGGAGCTTTCCCTGGAGGTACATGGCCAGGGGACAAGTTGCAGCCAACAGGAGAGCCAAATCCTGCAGTAGAGGAAGGTAACTTGGCTGGGTGCCTGGCAGACTAGGTGAGGATTTAAAAACATTAGACCTGTATTTTTGGCTCTGGTCTATCTTGTGACACAGTCAAAGTACTTCATGTTACTTTCCCTTTTTTTGAGGAAAGGGAAGGGGAATCCTTCATTTGTCCTGCATAAATGGGCTGTTGGGTCAGAAGCAGGACCATTTCTGTGTCAAGTCTGAATAGCGCCCTGTGCAAAGCGGTCCCTGAAGCGGCTAGTTTCATAATGCTCATGCCACTAAGGCATTTGGAAAAGCGTTTCTCGCTCTACAGCAGGTTTCAGTTCCACCGTTTCCTAATACTTTTGTTTTACACAGAAAAGCAGTTGAGCTTCCCTCACCCACCTGCTCGCGGAGACCCTGCACTGCGCCCGGCCGCTCAGGAAGTCTCTGTGAGAGAACCGTGAGCAGAAATAAGGGGAACCGCTATGCCAGTTCTTAAAACTCACGCCCAGTGTCTCCAAGTTCCCGATAACGGCGTCTCACCTAGCAGCCATGGCCAGTTTCGGAGCCTGACACATCACTGAGAATTTCCACGGCCGCCCGGCAAGCGCGGGCTGCGCGCCCGACGCCGTGTCGCCACCAGGTGAGCCCAGTCTGCAGCCACACTGGGCTCCGAGCAGGAAATGCATTCCCTCAATTTCATCCCAAAGGACAACTCATCACAGGCCCTTCCTGGCCCCTGTCCCTTAACCGTCTGACAGAAAAAAAAAATCCTTTCCTCTCACTGCTAAGCAGAAAAAAATCATCCTCTTTCCGCTCCCCATTTAAAGCAGCAGCCCGACTGCATATCCCAAACCACATGTGCTGTGGAAGCGATAAATTCCCTGCACCGATCCCAGACTGCAGAGCAAGCTGAGCACTTCACAGCGTCTCTGTGTTTTGCATCCACCCGAGGAGGTGCATGACTGCACCAGGGCACTTGGCTTTCTAGGTGACAAGGTACAATCGGAACAGAGATTTCTTGGCATCTAAACAGGCGCCAGTTATGAAAAGCAGCAGCTTGGGAGCCTGCCCCGCGACACCGCTAGGTGCTAGAGCTGTGCGGGTCCAAGCAGTGCCCCCTCCGGCCCCTTAGCTACTTCGAGCTTGTCGCCAGCCGCCGCAGGCTGATCAGATTGTAGGAAACCCCAGGGAAATTCTGCTCTGAGAAGCTGAAAAGCGGCAGAGCGCCGGCAGAGCCCTCCCGGCGGCAGCAGACCGCAGACTCTGCGTCGTTTTCCTCCCTTGGACACCACGGCGGCCCTCAGCCCGCTGCCCTGGCGCTCCGCACCCGGCGCTCCGGCCCAGC